GTGTGTGTGTGTGTGTGTGTGTGTAATACATGATACCCAAACAAAAGACACTGCAAGACTGAACTTGTAGAGTTTGTCTAAAACTAGTCTAGTAACAGCTTTTGTTTTAAAAGCAATAAAGTGAAAACTGGGATGGTGGACTTTCTGTACTCTGTCATTAGATAATGTGACATTTTACACTGCAGGATAATTCCTCTGGAATCTTTCTGTTGCATCAGATAAGTCAAGGTGTTGCAAATGCTGCAGACATGGTTCATTAAGTCAGATTTGGTAATACTCATCTGTCATCGTGCAGTGGAGAAGCCACCCTTTATTCTTTCCGTCTGCATGAGTCATTCAGATATACATGGAAGAGACGCTGGTGAAAGTAAGCAGGCTGTTGACTTTCTCTTTAGTTCAGCTTATAGTAAATATATAACCTAATGTTTGTTTCCAGGTCTCAAATCCATCATGGGCTTTGCTAGAACACAGACGTGAAGGTCACTAAATCAAATGCAAGGCTGCAAAAGCTGAATAAAAATATACACTTTAAACGAGCATTAAAGGAGTTCACTCAACCATCCAAATACGTTCCAACATTATGTCTAATTAGTCACACTTACCCTGATACCAGCTAATACTGTAACCTCACACATTTGATATCATTTCCAGACACTGATACTGACATCATGCGCTGAGTAAACAGGAAAAATGAACCCTGACAGCTGGTATATTTAACTGCAGGCAAGTGACACTGTGTCACCCATTAACCTGTTGTCCACACAGATGGTTCTTCAGACTTTCCAGTGTGCAGAACAATGCTGTAAAAGAGACATTTCCTCAAGATAACTTACAAGAAAAACAAAAAACAAAATGCTGTAGTGCATTAGTCAAGGATCTGGGATTGTCACGCTTGTTAACCCAGCAATAGAAAAACAGAAACTCTGCTCACTTTCTGATGGTTTTGTTTGGAATAAAAAAAATAAAATAAACATAATTAGCCTTGAAAAGGCCAATCCTTTAGCAGGTCATTAAACTCCCCCAAATTCCTGACACTATAACAGAGGACATGACCTTAGCCAGAAACAGCATAATGACCATGTCTCAGTTGTCAGTTCCCAAAATAGGCTATTTCACAATGAGCTTCCTTTTTTTTGTTATTTCTTTTCTTCAACAATATTTGAAAGACTTTTAAAACCAAGATGCTTTAATGTCATAATGTGTGTTTATCATTTTGCAGTGATAGTGTCCACAATCATTCTCATTGTCTATGATTTTATTACTTTACTTACTTTGACGGTGACTCCTAAAGAATAAATCAAACATTTACTCTGTGTTAGACTTTGAACCCAAACTGCACTAAAACACTATCATGATGGCTCTTTTTGTCTCTGTGAAAGGTTATCCTATGGTTTTGATCAGGACATGCTATCTTATTGGATCGCAGTATTTGAGCACATTAAATGTGGCCTACGTGAGATTACTTCTGGAATACTGAGTGCTGTGAAACTGCAGTGATAATGTTTTGCAGCTCATGTGTCACTAGCTGGTTTATGATACAGACACCGACAGACAGAACAGCATCACACCTGTTCAGGCAGACACACACACGCAGACTTGAGCTAACTCATATCATCATAAGGGGCGGATCCTGGACACACCTGTATGAGTTGCTAGGGAGTAATAAGCAAGTTTGAATGATAACAAACAGCACCGCAGCAATGATGTGATGGTACAACGGTTGACTGGTTTCTGTTGACTCACAAGCATGCTGGATTACAATCAAAAGCATTGTGTGAATGGAACATTTGGATAGGATACAGAAAATAAACCCTGTGATTAATGATTTATTTTTTGTTATCTGGTAGACATAGTAGAGTACATAAACAGACAAAAGAGGAAAGGTCCAGATAAAGGAGATTTCTAATTCACTCATTAGATGTTGCACAATACAATGATAATTAATAACAGGCCTTTAATAATGGGAAATATGTTTTCCTGTATTTTGGGAGAATTTTAGATCTGTATGTAACAGTCAGGTGACACCACAAACATTATGAACATGTTCATATTTCTCCAGCACTGACTTTTCTGTAGAAAAAAAAATAAAATAAAATAAAAATTTTTGCTTTGGATGTTGCGTGGTTTAAAAATGGTCTGCATACACTACAATGAGAAAACAGCAGTGCTGTTGTTCCAGTCTGCCGCCAGGGGACATCAGTGTGCAACAAAAGACAACAAGACACCGCAGCCCATTTGCACCCTTAATCGTCCTTCCATTGCCCTCCAAAAAATGGTCATGTTTCCAACCCACGGTATAATGTATAACGTACAATATGGGTCATATATAAAAGATGTTTGCATGACATCAAGGTTTACCTAAATGTATTTATTATAATTGCTTTATTAATAATCGTTAGGAACTGTACACACCTGAAATAATAATAAAAACTAAGTAATAAATGCCTTATTTGAGAAACGAAGAAAAAATACTATTAAAAAGTTTTTAAAAAGATTAAAAAAAAAAGAGAGACAAAAATAAATAAATAAAAATACACATGCACTAGCACATAACGGCCAGGAGGGTGAGGCATTGCCAAATGCACATGTGGTGTAGATAAGGAGTCTGCCATCACATGGTCAGATAAATATAGGTTATGAAGATGTGAATCGAACCTCCCCGACAATTAACCGAGAAAAAAAAGTTATTTATTCAACATGTCTGTGATGTTGAACTTGTATATTTGGGAGGGGGAGGGGGGGGGAACTAAGTGACCAAGTAAATGTAGTCTTTAATGATTAGAATTATCATAGTGAGTTATAAACATGTCTTCAAGGTTAAAAAAAGGGATTTACTCAAAATTTCACTGAGTAAAATGGTTGCTATTTAATGTGGTGATGCTTACTAGTGATTACTGCAAAAACGTTTCTAAGCTGTAGTCCATGTTTTGATTAAACGTTTTAAAAGCAAAGTAATCATCCATCTGGGGTTCTGGGGTGATGTTAGGTTGATATAAGGCGCTAAAAATCTGGAACACAATCCTGAGCTGCTGGAGGTGGCCAAATCATTTATACAATTTAATAACCTCAAATCTGGTGGTGAAAAAAAATCTATGACTATTTTCACTACTTTAAGTAGAAACAAAATAAAAATCTTTTATCAGTACCATATGAGCATTTGTTTAAGTACACTTGAACATACTAATTTATATCTTAGTTATAAACATACCACACAGGAAATCAGGGGCTGCCAGAGTTTAGAAGAAAACCTATGTGAGTTTTTAATTACAATAAGACAGCAGTTTGTGGTCATCGTCCCAAGCTTCTAAATAAACTTTATTATGTGCTACAGTTCAGTCTTAGACAAGGTAAATTATTGATTTCCCCGTCTCTCTTGGAGTCAGGCTACAGTTAACTGGGAGAAAACGAACTCCGTTTACTTTCAGTTTGAAAGCAAATTAAAACCTTCTCCCACTCACTTAATTGTCCCGAGTCATCAGTTAAAAATCAGCCCACTGATTGGTCATTTTTGTGTAGACCTGAAGCAACACGACTTCTTATTGCGCGTAATACTGTTTGCTTAAATTGCTGGCACGCACAGTTGTTTTGTTTGCTGGAAATATAGGCGGGGACAACACTACAGTCCCTCCCCCTTCCCATTACAGAACATAATCTTACCTGTTGTTGATGTTTTAAATTTGAGAATATGTGGTTTTTATCTATGGTTTACGCTTAGACTACTTTAATATACCCAATCCTTAAATTATAGAAATATATAAATAGGCTACAAAGAACACCGAGACAGAAATGTGACCATTTATCAAAAATATATAGCATCACTCAGACAAACTTTGTACTAATTCCTTTTTTTTTTTTCTTTATGCAGGGCCTATTTTAACCTATGTGATTACATTACTGTTCATTGTCTGACTGCAAGACAAAGTGGTAGTTACCACTGGTTACAAGTGGCCACGTTAGGTTAAAGTGATTAGCCACATCCTCCATGGGCAGGTGCGTTACCTGTGGCTTCCCCAGGAAGCAATTCTTTCGCTCTGGTGCTACAGCTCAACTACACAAACAGAATCAGCCGACAGAAAAAAGCGTGGGATAGTATATGTCGTCGTTTCCCAATTCATCGCAATCCGCCTTTTGTTTCAGGACGCGTGTCTGCAGTCACTCCCGCACGGGTTTTGGTGTCAGACGGAGGGAAGTGCTTCCTGATAATAAGGAGGTGCGTCTTATTTCCATTCCAGTGATTGACTGCGCACGGCTTTCACCGCCGGAACTGGAGGTATTGACGCATTGTGGAGTCGACAGGGGGTAGCACTGCAACCCCGGCTTCGCTACACAACGGAGGCATCTGTAGGGGAAACCGCGATGGCCGTGGTGCAGCTCGAAACGGGGGACCATCAACCTGAGAACGGCTTCGTGTCACCCGAAACCACGTCGCCGGATCTGCTGACACGCATCGACGGCTCTGTTCTGCCATTTCTAGGTGGATTTGGGAAGTACCAGAAACAGCTGATTGTGCTGACATGGATTCCGGCGTTATTTATTGGATTCAGTCAGTTCTCTGATAATTTCCTCCTCGCCCAGCCAAACAGCACTTGTATCCAGCCTTTGGCAAATCTGACTAACCATAGTAGAGATCATTCCTCGCTGTTAGGCAGGCCAAAAAACATTAGTGAGCGACCGGATCCAATTTGTGTCAATGGAAGTTCCACAAACAAAATCACGACCAGCATGCCTTGTAACAACAATGAGTGGATATGCGAGCTGCACACAGGACTTAAGGAAAATGTGGTTACTAAGGTAAGCTATCCATCTTGAGGATAGGGTGGGGGGTCCTTTGTATAATTTGTTATGCATCCTAATAACAGGGTCGATATTACATTAGTAAGATGCGCTTATTAACGCTGCAGTTACAGTGAAAAAACAAAACAGTTAGCCTTAAACGGCCACGTTAAAATTCTGTCTGATTGTGTTGTGAAAGCACCTCGGTAGTGGTTGTGGTTATGCCTCCATTGTTGCAGTCTTCTCTCCACTTTGGGGCGTCTAGCACCGTCATCTCCAGTGCGGATTTACACAGCCACGAATTGGCTCACGTTGGACCTAAAAGTAGTAGGATTCAGGTGAGGGCATGCATGGTGCTGACAGTGAGTCATCGCACCATCGGACACAATGGGTGACCTGTCACAGAAACAAGCCACCATTGGCACATGGGGGCAAACTGCCAGGGCTAGTGGAATTTGCCGGTCGGTTGTCGTAATGGATATAATAGACAGGGAGCATTTGATTTGGAGCAAAGGTCATTACTGTACTCTCTAGAATAATGCAACCCCATCCCTGATCAAACATCACCAGGCCCATTGCTGTCCTAACCAAACAGCAGTAAGATAATCTTATGGCTCTCATATTGGACACTTTCAGGTTGTTTGTGACTCAGGATTGAGGCCTTTGCATTCCAATATCTGTGCCTGCAGTCTTTGTAGTTGGACTGCGAGCTGCAGGAGGAACACTTTTATATCTCCTTTTGCCAGTCTGCTTGTCTCCAGCTGCAGATGCTGCATGTGCATATGAGGATACAAACATTATTATTTTTGCACAAGAAAAAAGAAGAGCAGACCTTCTTCATTATTGGAAATATGCAAAAAATAATACTTATTAATTCTTAGAACAAGGTGCAATTAAATCTTAGAAATAATCTAAATGTTGTACAATCAGTTTGTTTAAAACCTTTAATGTCCACTCTTGCTGTCACACACACACTCAGTTGAAGAGCACAGCAAGTCACATTCTAGCTGGCAGCAGCTGTACCTTTTCAAGGGTTTTTAAAAAAAGGATGAGCTTGGAAGCTTCACTGTATTGCACACTGCTCGCCTCCATTGTGGTGTCTGCTTATCATTGATAATGTCCCTTATTACAATAAAGCAAATAAAATGCAGCTGTGGCATTTTAATTTAGCTGTGGGAGCTGGGGCAGTTGAAATCTTGATTTCATTTGCTGTCCACAGGGTAATTTGAGGGCCGGGGCTGCATAAAAGGCCAGCGTGATAAACTGTTCTCACGCACTAGGGGATTCTCACAAGTGCAGCTGAATATAAAGTGATACGTGAAAGAATTTGACTGGGTGGATGCAAATTACTAATAATCAGAATATTTCAGTTTCCCTGTGGCTAAAGCTGAAAACAGGTTTCCCATATGAAGGCTGATGATTTGAAAACAGTCATTGCTCTCTGCTCACGCTGCCGTTGTAACTTTGTACATGCTAAGATTTATGTTGCCTTTGAACACATACTGAGAATGTCATGTTGACACTACCACCTCTGCAGATCAGTAACGGGCCTGGACAGTTGCTAAAAGTGTCTGGCAATGCTCGTCTTCTCTAACTCCTGGCTGTCCACATTCAGACAAGGTCACGGTGAGGAGAAGCTGAATCGAATGGCACGCTGTCAAAATCCGAAATTGAAGCAAAAATATCTCTTGTGCTTGTACTTGTCATTTTCTTTTTCTATTTTGACACTGGCCCTCAGTCTTCCAGGCCTCCTTTTTGCTCCCCCACCATAGAACACAAACTATAGAATGTGGCACTCGAATAGGAAGTGATGACTTGGCTTTTATCCCTGTGTTTGGATTGCCACAGAAAAACTGCACACGCCTGGGTCTCACCTATCCATGACACACTATCCCTAAAAAGCAGAACAGTGTGTCAATTCTGACGAAACGCCTTAGTGTCTCTTACACACTGTCTGAAGACAATCTAACCCCACACTGCTCTGCACGAGGTCGGCACTTAAATACTTGTAGATATTCAAACTCTGTGCCATTTTTCCGAACTTGACACGTGATGAGGTGCCACTGCTCACACAGTGCTTTCTCAGGGTGACACAGAAAGAAGGCAGTGTTGAAAGATCCAAAGTGGTTAATGTGGAGACCCATCCTAATTGAGTCAAAGCTCTCCTCAGGGTCCTTCTTAATTGAACCGAGCCTTTGAAATCAGAATATACCATTACTCAGACACAGTCTCTGTGCAACCTACCCTACTCATCTTGCTTTGGGATGGGCAGCAGCTGCACATACTGCCTGAAATAGTGGCCTGAGAACCTCTTCAAATGACAGATTAACCTCTCTAACTCATGCTTTATCAATTTGGTTGTTGTATGATAATCAGATGCACCGGGCAGTAAAGGACTGATGATGATGTAATATTTACATGATGGATTCTCCTCTTGGAAATTGGATTATCATGACCCTTTAAAAAAGAATTACCTTTTCGTTGTCAAAAAAATAAAACAAAACAAAAAAAGATGAAGTATCTCCTGATGTGTCTCTAAACTGCACTGCATTGCATTGTAAACCAGTTGTGTATTCCTCGCACTGAAATCAACAAGAAATGGCATCTTTAAATAATAAATGACCTAAATGATTAAATAAAGAACTGCTAATTGCTGAGCTGAAATGGTTAGCCAGTTAATCAGTTAGTTAATTGGAGCCCCGCGCTTTATTTAATAATTGAGAAATATAATTGAGAACATTAGAATAACTGTTAGGAGCAGACGGATTGATTAACAACTGTTTAGCTGTGCCCGTACTGCACTCATACAACTGTGCCATCTTCATGTTGTTCTCCTCGTAGTGTAGGTTAGGTTCTTATGAATGTGATAAGGACGATATGTTTTAAAAGCCTTGGTGGGTACACCCAGACACGGTATCTCTAGCTCGAGGCTGCACACCCATAGATCTGAAAGATGATACTGTAGCTGAACACCCATGCAGGCCCCTCTGCTCTGTGTCCCTTCATGCTGTTTACCCAGCTGGTTGGCTCCTTCCACAGACTCTGGATCAGTGCGGGACCCTTTGAAATAGCCTCAGCTGTCGAAAGGCGACGACCCCACTGCAGATACCCAGTCAGCACACAATGACAGCCTCTCACAGTGTCAGCTGGGAGGAAAGATGCTTGTGTGACCAGATGATAAAACTCTGCTGAGGCGCTGTGTGTGTGACAAGAATGTGTGCTGTGCTGCTCTTTTCTGATAAGTGCTGTTTTGGAACAGGGAGGGGTGAAAGCTGTGACCCTTTGCTATGGTTTAAGTTTGTGTTTTCTATGGATGGTGTGATGGAATTTGGGTAATAGGAGTAATGGCTTTTCAATACATATGAAGTCTGACTGTTGACAGATATGTGTAGTTGTGCTAACTATCAACAACAGGAGGGCATGAATAATGCATGGACAGGCAAAGGTTTGTTGTTTCACAAGCTGTCACTGTTGATCACAGTAAAATAACACTGCCATCAGCCAACTTGTCAAACATGGTATGGTATCTTATGTAATGTTTAGCATAGCCTGCATCTGAAACATGGTCACACTGATAATGTGACATCAGGTTCAGTCCCTAAGGCTGCAGATCCAGCATCACATGTGTAATGTTCCCTTTTTTGACTTCTTTTACCCCATATTTTCAGTGTGTTATGGGACGCATGCTATAGGTCTATGTTTTTCCAAGAACTCACCCTCCTTATACAATAGTTTGTTATATCCTCACCCAGCTACCACCACAATATAGGGTTTCACCCCTCCAGCGGTGGTAAAACTTGCACTTGGAAGCAGACAGAGTCAGATAACCTCAGTGATGGTCTGTTGCTAGGCAGTAACTATGCAGCAGTCTCTCCCTGTGTTTTCTGCTGGCTCCTCACAACTGCTTTTGAGCATTTCTTTCCCTCTCTCTGTCTGTCTCTCTCTTTCTATCCAGTTATCTTTTGCATAAATGTGTTCCCTGCTTTATTTTTTTGCTTCTCCCTCCATATCTTTGTATGTTCTGTGGTTACATTGTACAATTATGCCTCCTTCCCCCTGTGCTTGCCTTCATCTCTCTCTCCCCCCTCCCTCCCCTGTGGCCTGCTCCCTCTCCTTTGAAACCCCCACCCACCACTGTGTAGTTCAGCGAGTGCAAAAATGTGCAGCTGTGGTTGAACATCTTCATCTCAGTGGACTCGATGGTCTAGACTGATCACTGGTGGCCGTTCTTTTGAAAGAGATCAACAGATTTCCTTGAGATTTTGACTGATTTGATCTTAGCCCTTTCATGGTTTGCATCTTATCTCAGCTAAGTGATTCATGTGTACAGAAACATTCTCTCTCACTGACTTCTATTCATTACTCACAAAATGAGCAAGACAATAGCAAGGAAACAAGTGACAAATTAAACCTGACAAAAAGCATAGATCTGACTCAAGGTGATGATCAATCTAAATTTTAAAGATGCTATTTTTATGTTATGGCTTAAATATTTGTCATCCCATGTCTCCCTGGCTTTTCTAAAAACTGTATGCCCAGTAATGGCTGTTGCACAGATAAAGGACCAGGTTTTAGTCAAAGTTCGAAACAGAGTTAAATGATCTAGAAGTAACCTTAATAACAGCTGGTCAAGCCTTCTACTGTAGAAAGGTCCTTTATGAACACAGGATACAGTGACATACTTTATGAAAGGAAGGCCGATAATACGGTCCAACAATTCAAAGAGACGTGTTAGCTGACTCTCCCCGGGAACAAGCGTGTAATACAACTGATAAGTGACAGAAGCTATCATGCAAATTACACCCGTGTTTTCCTGCTTCTGTTAAAGCGTGTTAAAATGCAGATATTTTTGACATTCAGCAGTGTTTTTTTAAATCCATGTGCAAAATAAATGGGCAAAATAGGAACTCCACAGTGTGTGAGCTGTTGAATTTTTTTTCTTTACATTAAATCTACAGATACATTATGAATGTTTTTATATGCTCCTATAAATACGTTGCCTTGTGTGAAGTACTTGCAGTGAGTCTTTAGAAAAATGCTCTATAAATAAAGATAATTTGTTATATTGAAATGATCCAAGTGGTTGTTGTGTAACTCTGTCTGCAGTGGTTACTTCCTCATGTTGAGTGCTTCTCTATTACCAGCCTTTAAAATGATCCCTGATTCATTTTTAGGCTGACCTTGTCCGAATAAAGGCAATGGTTAAAGTAAAAATATGAGCAGATAGCAGGGTAAGCTTATTTATTAGTCAGTCCATTTCCTGACTAGTAAGTTATATTCTTTTTGTAAATTCCATTTTTTTATTTATTTTTTTTATTTTTTTAACTAACATTCATATTCTAGACTGGTTTGATCACTTTTATAAAGGTTGCATAAAACAGCCTGGTATATTAAAAGCATTGAGCAAAGGATGTAACCCCGCTTTTTGTAGTTTGTAGGATTCTCTTTTCCAAAACTTTTAATTACCGTTAAAGTTAATGAAGGCTTTGAAATAAAGCACATTAATGATGCCAAGCAATCTAAATGAAGCCACAGACAGTTTAACTGCCTTGTAAGACATTGGTGCTTTGTCTGTAACGTGTGACATGGGGAATGCTGATGTTCGTGTTTTATAACACTGGTCATCTGTCTGTGGTCGCCTACATATCTCAGTTCTGCTCAGTCACCAGTCTTCCAGCTCTGCTGATACATGTCGTCATAGTGTGTTTTACTGTAGAGTTTTATTTTGGTAGTCTCTCCAGCTTCCAGTTTCTGTTTTTTATAGTCTTTGCTGTCTTGTGGTTGCGCAAAAGAAACTTGTTTTCTCCTCTGCGTTTTTCTGTGTCTGACATCGATACTGAAACCATGCACGAGTGGCATGTGTGAGTCATGTGACTGCTTGGTGGCTCTGTGTAATTCCTGGGGCATTCCATTTTGAGCACGTCACTATGGTAGAGTTTACGATAGGTTATGACCCTTCAGAAACAACTCAAATACAAAAGTAAAAGAAACAAAAAGCCTTTTGCTAATTTCACTTTGTACTTGAGAGTATCGTAGACTTACTACATACATAGACTTGCTTGAGCCAACCTTTATGTAAATTTAAAAAAAGCCCCTCCCCCCATCCAAACTACTACTGCTACAGCAGATGATCTGAAAGTAATGTCCTTCAGAGATCTAAAAAATAGAAATAAAAACTGCTAAGACCTGAGTCAGGACCTGGGAGATGGCTCTAATCCTTCAACTGGGCCATATACTCTTCACTAATGCTTTATTATAAATGGTCTCAGGGGCTATCAAGAAGCCATTCTTAAAGAAGCGAAACTGGGGAAAAAGGCTGTGATATGCCAAATTACACAAGAAGTGGGGCTGTATTTCAGCCAGTGGTGTTAGGGATCTTGTCAAAACTTGTACAGAAAAACATACAATGTAACACTTCCACTCATGGATTGACCTCCCCAGAACTTCAACATTATTGAAGCGGTTGCAAATTATCATCACAGAAAAGGAAACAAAAGGCAGCCCATGTCCATTTGAATGTACTTCAAGCAGCCTGGGGAATCCTGAAGACTGCTTAAAAGAATTTACAAGAAAGCATGCCTAAGACATGATTTAGACTTCAGTGGGAAAGCTACATCATAACTTATAAGGTAACTGGAAACTCCTTTTAACCCTACAACCTAACCTTCCATGTGACCTGACATGCAGCTCCTGAAAAGTATAACTACACGTCGGGATGACACAGCCCACAATGACTGTATGGCTGTAAGGGGTTTCTGGTTACAACACAAGTTACAATGTAGATTTTTTGTGTGTGTGTGTGTATCTCTAAATCACACTTAAGAGAGTTCAGGCTTTTGAAGGCTGTTAAAGAATAAAGATGGGCAGACTAAATAATAACTTTTCATAGATTATACAAATTCAGTTTTTGCCTTTATATACCGCATTTCCACATATGTTTACACACACATTAGTACATTTTTTGTAAAAGTGCCAACTTTTACCCCTTCCTCAGATGCATAATCATTACAATGCCCGTGGTAGTCAAAGCTGTAAGTTCAAATCTAAGACGCACGTGTTGAGTCTGCTTGTCACAACCTAGCACTCTTGCTGGAGAGCAAAAAACAGGGTGTACCAACATGCAGAGACAAGTCTACACCACATCGTTGTCATAATCTAGGAATCGCTTTTTTTTTTGTTTTTGTTTTTTTTTTTTAGCAGGGATTCAGTCACAAAGTAAAAGTAGAGTTACTGTATTATAGGTCACCCTCTTGACAGCCTACATAGAAACAAAAATAAATGATGTAATAAGAAAGTGTTTGCTTATGTGGAGTTAACCTTGATTATCGACTTAAGTAAAGTTCTCCAAATAATGAAGGAAAACGCCTAATGTGTAATTCATCATATATATATATATATATATATTGCATTGCTTTTGAACCAGGCAGAATGTAATTGAAGAATTTGTGCTTAAATAAGTAATCATAAGTGAACTATAGCGAAATATCACGTTTGGCAAGATGCTCTGTTTTGGAGCATTGGTGTCTTGTCGGGATTAAATAACAGAAAAAAGATATTGATGTTGTGTCAGTGTTGCTATAGACTAAATACCAAGAAGCTCTTCTGTTGCAGGGTATATCCTTCTTACATATCGTTATGAGTGATGATATTTGTCAATGAATTAGACAAACTTAGAGGTGAATGTTAATCAAGAGATAAAAATGCAGCATACTCAAAAGATAATATTGATCTTTGTCCTCCACATTATCTACACAGCATCATTTTCTTGAAACTAATACCTGTTTATTTGTCTCTACAGTGGAGTCTGATGGGTGAGTCAGCATGGAAAGTCCATATTGCAAAGTTTTCTCTGTTGGTTGGATCCATCTTTGGATATCTGGTGTTTGGAATATTAGCTGACTGGTAAGACTTTCGCACCATCCTTAATTGAAATATCATGCAAACCTTAAAGGTGTTTTATGCTTATTACAAGTGTCATTTTTGCTCTTACCTTATTCTGTAGGTTTGGCCGCCACCCAGTGCTGATCATATCAGTACTGTTCATGTTGGTGTTTGGTTTTACTGTGGCCTTTTCTAGGAACGTCCCCATGTTCAGCACATTGCGTTTCTTTGAGGGCTTCTGCCTGGCAGGAATCACCCTTTCTCTCTACGTCCTTAGTAAGTAATTCAGTTACTCCCTACTAAAAGTCCCAAGGGCTCCTTTGTCAAACACCTTATATCCTCAGGTAGTTGCTAAGGTTGTTTGTTCATTACATGAAAGAAAACAATGGAAGGTTTCCTAGAAAAACACAATAACAGTTTTGTTACATGAAACGGCAGCTTTTCAATTCAATTCGGTTTTATTTATATAGCACAAAATCACCACAAAAGTCACCCCAAGCTTTACAGTGTCAAGTAAAGACCCTACAATAATACAGAGAGAGCAGAGAAACCCCAACAATCAGATGACCCCCTATCAGCAAGCGCTTTGGCGACAGTGGGAAGGAGAAACTCTTTTAGTGGAAAGAAATCTCAGGAGAGAAATCTCTCCCTGCAGAAACGGGGTTAGGGAGATGCACTCAGCTGCCTGCCAGTTGGAGGTGAAGGAACAAAGACAGGACAAAAGGCACGCTGTGAAAGAGAGCCAGACATTAATAATAATCTATGATTAAATATAGACTGATATATAAACACATTGTTAGAAAATCTTACCTGTAGGTAGCTTGTTAGTCGGCTAACTTACACTCTGAAATCTTAAAAGAACACAACAATCTCCAAGTTGCTCTTTTTCACAAGTTCAACTTCATACAGCTGTTTAAATATTCATATGATGGTTATACACAGTCATAAAGAACTAAGTACACGTCTTGAATCAGTATCTTGTACGGCCACCTTTAGTAGCAATAACTTGAAGTAATGGATTTCTGCATGACTTAATCAGTCTCTCACTTGCTTGTGGAGGAATTTTGGCTCACTGTATTGCTTCATTTCTTTGAGGTTTGTAGGTATTCAATTATGCACAGCTCTCCTGACGTTCTGCCACAACATTTCTTGCAGGATGAGGCCTGGACTTGAGTGGGCCATTGATTGCAACACCTTAATTCTTTTTTTCTTTTTTTTTGTAGAAAATCTGCAGATTTTAGGCTCTGCTTGGGACCTTAGGCCCTCATTTACTAAAAGTACTTACACAAAAATCTGTGCATAATTTGCACGTACAAAAGTGTCACACAAAAATCTGTGATTTACCAAAATTTTCTTACCCGAGTTTATTTGTTAGTACTAGTAGTAGGTAAATTAGAATAAATTCAGGTTGAATACTATTACTACTACTGCTGCTATTGTTACTAATATTAATGCTACTAATAATAATATGATTGCTACCTTTTGGTCATTATTTATAATTTTCACAAACACCATAAGCCACAAAATACTTGGAATCCACCATTTAGAAAAACAGGCTTTAACCCTTTGATTTAAATATATTACATTATTCTCCCATATCATCTTATCAACAGTGACTTCTACCATTGTTGGATGTCATCAGTTAGTCTAATTTTTTGACTAAGTGGCTGCTGATTTATTTATTTTCTTATTTGATGCCCCCACTTAGGCCACATTGAATGTCTTAGGCCAAAAGTCATTTCAAAGACCGTTATTTAAGCCTGAGGCTCACTTTTGTTTTCCATGGGAGTGATGACTCTCTGGAACGCTGTGCCTTTTCTGCCTTCCTAAACACCTTCCTTATAGAGAAATTTGAGTGTGGCAGTTGGTATGCAGATTGCATCAGGCTGTTGGTCTGGAATGATTCTGATTTACTAACATACACATAAGAAAGAAAATAGGTTGGTGCGCATGCTTCATAAATCTGACAGTAATTTATTTTGTACGCACGTATTTTTGGCTAAGGGTAAGAATGTTTCCACACACATATTAGTAAATGAGGAGCGTTGTCCTGTTGCGTTAGTCAGTTTTGGTCAAGGTTTAGATGTCAGGCATTTGACTCTAGATTACTTTGGTAAACAGAAGAGTTCATGGTAAGCCTAATGACTGCAGGGTGCACAGGTCCTGTGGCTGCAAAAAAAATGCCAATTCATCACCCCTCCACCTCCGTGCTTGACAGTCAGTATGAGGTCTTGAGGTCTGATATCTTTTGTTTGCTTTTCACCAAACATGGCGCTGTGCGTCATGGCCAAACACTGGCGTCTTTAGTCTCATCTGTCCAAAGGACATTATTCCAGACATTTTATGGTTTGTTCAGATGCAACTTTAAAAACTAGGCTGAGCCTAACCTATACTGATTCACTCTTTTTCTCAATGTTCTACAGATTCTAAGTCTGTATAATCTGGTATGTAGCTCAGGTTCCACAGACCTTTTGCAGGTTTCTGAGCAGTGCACAGTCTTCGGGTACTTTTCCAGGGAAGACTGTGGCATTGTGTTAACACTTATCTGAATACCCGATACCAGCAAACTGCCCAAACCTCTGCTTTCATTGAAGTGGTCACACTTATTAATGATGAGTTAATCAAGTGGGCTTGATTAGCAGCATCTGGCTGCTTGCTGCATACCCTCTTAATTCCTATGGAAGCAGAAAGGGTGTACTTGATTTTTCACATGACTGTATAGTCCTTTCTGGAGTACTTTCTTTTTCATGTGACTGTAGCTAAGTAATGTTAATGGAAATAGGTTTAAGCTAACAGCTTTCTGAAAGAGCTCATAATTTTATAAGAATGTTGCCTTGAAAAGAGTCTGCTGATTAAAAGCGCTTTTTGGCTGGACTGGAATTAAACTTCTGTAAATCATGTTAAGTGCACGACCCAGTGCCATCACCATACTTAATTAAATGTGCTACAAAGATAATTTTTTACAGTGTATACCTGGATTTGAACTTTTACTAGGTGCCAAATTACTTAACTGCTCATGCTAATGCTTACTGCATATGAAAACCAGTGTATTCATAGTACTTGTTTTTGTTTTTGTCTTTTAATAATGATAAACTAAAAACATTCATGTAAAAAAGCAGTAGACCACTCAACAGTCCAATGCAAGAACTGCTCGTTAACAAATCAAAATCTTCCCTTTCGTTCCTCTGTTCATTCCTAAATAACATCTTGGTTACTTGTTGGTCTTGGTGGTTTAGTTAAACTGGTTTGTTTTCGGTTTGGCTGCTTGCAGAGGAAGTAAGAGCCAGTTTGTTTACACATCACGATCAGAGTTCCTTGTTGATACTGTGCGAATCAGGTGTATCAGGAGCATATTTCTCCTGTATTGGCTTCCTTTCATTGGCTTCCTGTTAAATCCAGAATTGAATTCAAAATCCTGCTCCTCACATACAAGGTCTTAAATAATCAGGCCCCATCTTATCTTAATGACCTTATAGTACCATACCACCCTATTAGAGCACTTCGCTCTCGCACTGCAGGCTTACTTGTTGTTCCTAGAGTATTTAAAAGTAGAATGGGAGTCAGAGCCTTCAGTTTTCAGGCCCCTCTTCTGTGGAACCAGCTTCCAGTTTGGATTCGGGAGACAAACACTATCTCTACTTTTAAGATTAGGCTTCAAACTTTCCTTTTTGCTAAAGCATATAGTTAGGGCTGGACCAGGTGACCCTGAATCTCCCTTAGTTATGCTGCAATAGACGTAGGCTGCCGGGGATTCCCATGATGCATTGAGTTTTTCCTTTCTAGTCACCTTTCTCACTCACTATATGTTAATAAACCTCTCTGCATTGAATCATATCTGTTATAAATCTCTTTCTCTTTTCCACATTATGTCTTTCTCCTGTTTTCCTTCTCTCATCCCAGCCAGTCGCAGCAGATTTGCCGGTGGTTTCTTCCTGTTAAAAGTTTTTCCTTCCCACTGTCGCCAAGGTGCTTGCCCATCGGGGGTCATATGATTGTTGGGTTTTTCTCTGTATCTATTATTGTACGATCTACTGTACAATATAAAGCACCTTGAGGCAACTGTTGTTGTGATTTGGCGCTATATAAATAAAATTGAATTGAATTGAAGGTACTCCACTTTAATACTCGCCTGTAGCCGAGGATAGTGATCAGCTGAAAGAAGAGTAATTATGTTGCACTAACCTATTAACATTTATTAAACTGAATGCCTATACGGGCGTAAATTCTCATTACTTACAAACTACCAACCTGCTTAGCTCTAAATTGAACTCTTTCATTTTCATTTACGTGAACCACAATTTTTTTTCCTCCTTTAATCTTTGTTACTTCTAATCAATAATCTAATAAGGACAAAAGTGGTTGTCTTCACTACACTTTCCCATCACTGCAGGAAGAGTCTGTAGACACTGTAATATTTCTGGGGATGAATCATCTCTCTTAATGTGACCTTCTATCTGAACGGTAAAGTAATAGTTTGTGAATATTTTGTGCTGTGCTGCGTCCTAGTAATTGGCGATGCAGTTGATGAACGTTCTCGGCTCAGCGGTGGATCCTTAAGAGCCTCTTTGGCTGCAGTAATTGACCAGTGCAGAGGCAAGGGAAAAAGGACAAATGAGAGAGAGGGAGCAAGGATGAGATGATGAAGGATGGGGCCCTCAGCATCCTTGTCATTCTAATTTAATCCACGCTGCATACCTTGAAAAGCTTTACAGCACACCCAGAATGGTGGGACTGTTTTTGTCTGCTCCCAATACAAGGGGGTGAGATGGAAAGAGGCAAAGGGGTAGACTTGAACCCATCAAATTTAAATTAACCTGACATTTAGTCATCGTTTTCAACAAGTTTGTGGTTTAATCATCCTCAGCAGAGTGGTTGGAGCCCGGTAAGAGGGAGAGAGTTTTGGAGTCATCATATTTATTTTTTTTTATGTTTTTTCCCCTCTCTCTCTCTTTTCTTTTTTACATTTTTTTTTTTGTTATATTTGTCATCATTAAACAGACTGCAAAACGGAGAGTCAAACAAAACAAGAAGAGTAATTATTGAATAGTTGAGCTAGTCAATTGTAAATAAAAATGGGATCATCTCAAAAGCTTCATTGCAACATTCCAGAACCATTTTAATGAATCATCTCTAGTCAGAGACCAAGATAACATTTGTTCCCCCGGTTCCAGTGAACACACAAGTGCATAAAAATTTGTTATACACTTCCTCGTTGAAGTAGCTATTCTGATCGAGAGAGGAAATTTTAGTTTTTTGCAGAGGCGCTATAAGACGTA